GTAAGGACTTGATTAGTGCATCTAGTCATTCCTCACATGTCTTAGGCTCATTCATGAAAAACAAATGAATTTGATGCTTGTATGGTACCACTATTGCTTCTATGCTTGACTTGATCTAGTAGTAGCATATGACATGTTTGTGGGCTTGTGAACCTAGTGTTTGATCTAGAAAATAGACTATAAGTGTTTAACTCAACATGGTACAAGATAACCCTTGAAATGAGGTGTGAAGAAGCTTGTCCTTAGATCAAACCGAGTTAAATATCTTTGACAAGTGTTCTAGATTGGACCAAATTTGGGAAAATGATCCTCACCCCATTGATTGACATTGATAATCTTAACCTATCTAAAACTTGAACCTTTGTGGTCATTGATGACAAAGGGGGAGAGAAACAAAGATATAAGTGATAGGGGGAGAACTTTGACATAGGGGGAGAGATATGACAAATAGGAGGAGAACTTTGACATAGTAGGAGAGATATGACAAAGTAAGGGGATCAATTCAAAATTGAGCACTCAAGTAGGGGGAGAAAGCTCATAAACTTGATTGATGCATTTGAATGTGCATTTCATATGTTTTGCTTGCATGGCACAAGTTTTAAATTCCAATATTCATGCTTGTGTGATGTATGCTAGTTGTAGGTTTGATTGATGAAATGAAAAACTAGCATGCATAGGTTGAGTAACTAGACTTGTGTTTATATTGTGAAAACTAGACGCTTGCTTCTAATGTTGATCTCACGGGGTATTCTAGTTTTTATGTATGTCTAGTTACTAATGGTGCTAAGGATGGTATACTTGGTGCACTCCGATTGGTATCATGCTTCAAAGGTCCATCTCTTATATCTTAGCATCATTTGGTAGACATTGCCCTCCCACATTTCCAATCCATGCATATGTGCAAGCTTCAATCCAAACTCTTAGCACATATGAAGGGAGAGCTAATGCTACCACTTGGGATTCATGAAACTTGTCCACATCCTTTTACACATGGTAAATATGCTTGGGCAAGCAACATGAATTCAATTGAATCTCAATTCATATCTTTGTGAAAGGGTTGTCATCAATTACCAAAAAGGGGCAGATTGAAAGCTCTAGTTTGGTTTTGGTGAATTGATGAAACCCTAGGTGCTAACCATGTGCTCTAAGTGATCATGAGATAGGTTAAGAACCAATCCAAGTGGTGGAGCTATTGAAGTCCAAAGGTGGTGGTGTTGGACATGTGATGATGATCAAGCTCTTCATTTGGAAAAGAAGAAAGAGAAAAACAAAAAGCTCAAGACAAAGGTGATATCCATAGGAGCTTTTGTGTTTTAGTGATCGAGACTCCTAGTGGGTGTGATCACATTTAGGATTGATAGCCGTACTGTTAAAAGAGGTGAAACTCATATCAAAATGCAGTTATCAAAGTGCCACTAGATGCACTAACTCATTGCATATGCATTAGGATCTAGTGGAGTGCTAACACCCTTGAAAATATTTATGAAAAATATGCTAACACACGTGCACAAGGTGATACACTTGGTGGTTGGCACATTTGAGCAATGGTGGAGAAGTTGGTGAAGTGAAGGAGATGATTGTCACTATTTTACGGTGACCGGACACTAGTCACGTAGTGACCGGACGCAGGGGTGTGAGTCCGGTCATTTATAAAAATGTTGGCACAGTCGGGCTCGGTCGGTTCATCGACTGGACATAGCATAGTAAAAGTGATCAGACGCGCAAGGCCTGCATCCGGTCATAGGTGACGTACGCTGACGTCAGTTGCTCAATTTGACGCACAGAAGAGAAGAACTGACTAGACGCTGACCTGGGTCTGGTCGTGGTCCACCAGAAGTGTCCGGTCGATGTTTTGTCGCTCGGGGAGCTCTCTAGAAGTTATCTGACGCTGGGCAGCTGAGGGGTGCAGCGTGTCCGGACATGGCGTGGCTGTGGCGCGCGCGATGTTGCTGACTACGGATCGGCGCGTCCGGTCTCCATGATGACGCGTCTGATCGTTACTTAGGCACTGGCGCGGCAGAAGTCGACCGTTGAAATCGGGCGATCATGATTGAATGGAGGGGGACACGTGGACGGCTGGCAGGGACCGGACGCTAGGGCTATGCATCCGGTTAGCGCAACTAGCGCGTCCGATCACCCCGAGTTGGGCTGCTCTGTTTGCCCAATGGCTCTATTTTGATGGAGCCTCTATAAAAGGTGTTTGGCCGGCTCAAGTTCTCTCTCTTGGTCATTTGCATTGACATAGCAACCTTGTGAGCTTAGCCAAATCCCTCCCACTCATCTCCATCATTGATTCATCATCTTTGTGAGATTGGGAGAGAATCCAAGTGCTTTGCTTGAGTGATTGCATCTAGAGGCACTTGGTGTTCGTGTTTCGCTGCGGAATTCACTTGTTACTCATGGTGGTTGCTGCCACCTAGATGGCTTGGAGCAGTGAGGATCATCGAGCGGAGGAAGGTGCTTGTCTCTGGCTCCGATCGTGGTGATTGTGAGGGGTTCTTGACCTTTTTCCGGCGGAGAGCCAAAAGATACTCTAGTGGATTACTCGTGGCTTGTGTGATCCTCACCTTGTGTTAGTTGTGCGGCACCCTATTGAGGGTTTGGCGTGTGATGCCAAATAGCGCGCTAACCTCCAAGTGAGTGAATCGCCATAACGAGGACTAGCTTGCCAGTAAGTAAGTGAACCTCGGTAAAAAATCTTATGTCACCTTGTCCAAGGATTTCATTGGTTATCTTGTGATTGATTGATTGGCTCCATCTTGTGACTGGCTCATACCTCGACACGTCAGTATAATCATCGCCATCCTTTCTTGCATTACATTCCTAGTGTGTAAGCTAAGCTCTTTAGTGTAATTAGTTTTGAGAGCTAGCTTGCATTGGGACTTGTGGTTAGTGAGGCTCTTTAGTTAGTCTTTGAGAGCTCACTAACTTAGTGTAGTGACATAGCCATTGTGTGGATAGAGACTATAGTAACTAGAATTGTGGTAGGTGGCTTGCATTTTTAGTAGGCTAGCGCTACACTTGCTTCGTCGTTTATTTAACCACATTGCCTAAGTGTTGTTGTAGAAATTTTTATAGGCTATTTACCCCTTGTCTGGCCATTAGGACCTTTCATAGGGGCTTGTTTGGGTGATAATAGTGCTAGTGCAAAGTAGTTGCTATTAGGATTTCTTATTATACTAGTTAACCCTGGCTCTAATGTTGTCTTTTGTAGAAAATTTTAATAGGCTATTCACCCCCTCTAGCCATTTAGGTTCTTTCACATGGTTGACCTCATCAAAATTTTTTGTTTGCAAGACCTCCATGACACTGCACCATCTCCAAGAGTAAATACATACCAACGCGTGGCGTAGATCTGATCAATATTAGATATCCAATTCGAATCACTATATCCCTCTAGCACCGCTGGGTGCCTAGAATAGTGAATCCCATAGCTCATGGTACCTTTAAGATAATGCAAGACCCTTTCAAGTGCATGCCAATGATCATCACCCGGGTTAGACATGAACCTACTCTTTGCTCACAACAAAAGAGATGTCTGGTCTTGTTGCACTAGCCAAGTAGATAAGTGAACCGATGATTTGAGAGTACCTCAACTGGTCTCTAGCTATCCTCTTAATCTTTTTCACTATCACACTAGGATCATAAGGTGTTGGAGAAGGCTTGCTATCCATAAAGTTGAACCGGCTCAAGACCTTCTCAACATAGTGAGATTGAAACAAGGTAAACCCACTCTCATCCTTAATCAGCTTGATGTTCAGAATTACATCGGCTTCTCCTGGATCTTTCATGTCAAAACTCTTTGACAAAAAAAGACTTGACCTCATTGATCACATCAATGTTTGTACCAAATATTAGAATATCATCAACATATATACAAACATAGTATAAAAGATACGGCTCCATCAATGTGCAAGCAGACACTTAGAATGGAGAAGCTACGATGGTGGCACAACAGCGAGAAGAGGCAAAAACCCTAGCTCGATTAGATGTATTTTGGCGTTGGCCTATAGGCTGTTTATATAGGACCGTCCGACCCGATCCCGTGTCGTGATCACGATCTAAACCGTTTAGGACTCCTATCCACAAATTTAAAGGTCAAGTAACCAAAAACTAAATCTGCAAAAAGGTGGTACGCCCCCGCAAGGCCAGGGTCCAGGTTTCAGCGGACCATTCACGCAGGTGCCGCGCGCCATTCGCCCCGCCTCGCCTGGCGAGACGAGCAAGCGTGCACATGTGGACTTCCTTTCTCCTTCTCATGACTTGAGGAAGTGGAAATGACTTTCATATCTAAGCATGGCTACCTCCACTTTTACGAGCAAGATTTTTTTTCATATGGGTATTAAACCCTGGGTTGATGTGCCTGTACTATCAGAGCAAGGCTAATAATACAGTCGGCTATAAGGATCTTTACAGTCTTCTCTCAGTCCACCCATATAGTAGCTAGCTCTCCACTATTAATACATGGCTCACTTGTTTCTCTCATAAAGTTTCTCGGTTTTTATGTCTAAGCAGGCCGTAAGCTTACAGCCCGCTTCTCTTTTCTCTCTTCTCCTCTCTCGTCCACCTCAGCATTTAGCGGCTTACAGCCTGCTATTATACTTGCTCTCATGTGTCTCCTTATTCGAGTGATACACTACACTACCTCTTAAATGATTTTCAGTGACGCCTTTTTATTTCTCTTTTTTTTCCAGATGTAGATCGATTGCTGATTAAGAACTTTTTCTAGATCGAGGTGTCTCCAGGATGCTCGAACCAGTGGACCGCTCTTGAGAATTACTAGTTTCGAAATTAAAGATGGCCGGCGGCCTTCCAACCACCAATAATGAAACTAGCCTCCATATTACTAGAAGAAAAACCCGGCGGCATCTCGACTCGTCCTTCCTCCCTCTATTTAACGGGTGAAATCCCAAGAGGCGAAAACAAGCTAGTTAGCACAGACGAGAGAGAGAGAGAGAGAGAGGAGGAGGAGGAAAAAGCTAATAATAAGGTGGTCGTTCATGGCTCCGATGAAGCTGTACGGTGCGACGGTGTCGTGGAACGTGACTCGGTGCGTGGTGGCGCTGGAGGAGGCCGGCGCCGAGTACCAGATCGTACCCATCGATTTCGCCACCGCCGAGCACAAGAGCCCTGACCACCTTGCCCGCAACGTACGTCGTCGTATTGTACTGTCTTTTTATTTGCCCGGCCGGCCGGTCGTCTCTCCCGGCGGTCTCCATCCCCTGCTGCTGTTGCTGCGGGATCTGATCTGTCCAGAGTATTGATATGATTTACATATATTGTGTTTCGATCTCTGCAGCCCTTCGGTCAAGTTCCAGCTTTCCAAGATGGCGATCTCCACCTATGGGGTACGTACGTATGATCCTATCATATCTCTTGGACGGAGAGTCGGAGATCCTATATATACAACCTCTTTGTAAATATGACAGTAGTACTAGTTTTCATCCCTGCCATGCATCACAAAATGGTATTTTTCCCAGAATCGCGTGCAATTTGCAAGTACGTTGCCCGCAAGCACAAGCCTGACCTGCTGAGGGAAGGCAACCTCAAGGAGTCAGCAATGATGGACGTGTGGCTGGAGGCGGAGGCCAACCAGTACACCGCTGCACTGAACCCTATCCTGTACCAGTGCCTCGTCAGCCCTATGTTCGGGGGCACCACTGACCAGAAGGTGGTGGAGGAGAACCTGGAGAAGCTGAAGAAGGTGCTGGAGGTGTACGAGGCGCGCCTGGCCAAGCACAAGTACCTCGCCGGAGACTTCCTCAGCCTCGCCGACCTCAACCACGTCTCCGTCACGCTTTGCCTGCTCGCGACGCCCCATGCTTTTGTGTTCGACGCGTACCCGCACGTCAAGGCATGGTGGGATGGCCTCATGGCCAGGCCGTCTGTCCAGAAGGTCGCCGCGCTCATGAAGCCGTCTGCTTGAAGTGAGCTGAGTCTTCGTACGTTCCTGGAATAATAATATATATAAGCCGACGATCGAGCTGTGTCCTGGTTCTCGATCGATCGGCATGTTATCCAGCAGGTTGCTGTGTTGAATAAGCTAGCCGAGTTGTATGTGATCCTTTGAATAATTGCACTGAGAACAACGTCGGCATGTTTTCGTGTCTTGAGAATAATATAAGCTATGTGCTTGGTATATATAGTAACTTCTCATTTAATCAAGATAACTACTACTCCCTCTGTTCTAAATTCAACTCCATTCTAGATTTTCTAATATTATAGATATATTCTATATCTAGATGCATGCAAAAATTATCTACCTAAAAAAGTCAGAATAACTTACAATTTGGAATATTTCACATGCATAAATGATGGATGTTAATGCTCATGGAATGCTTAACATAGTCGAACTAGCTATGTCATTAATTTATATCTATCAGAATATTTCATATAAACGCAAAAAGTTATATATTATGAAAATATTTTTCGTTGTATTATTCCCCTTTATTGGTAGTTATTAAAGGTAAAATATCTTATGGCAAACCTAGCTAGGTCCTTTATGGTACAGTATAACTCCAGCTTTGAGATCCGTATGCAAATTGAGCATCGCTTTTAGTGCGAGTTACTCATGGTGCCCAAGGTGGACTTGAACTTGATATAGATTAGGCCTCCAACCTGACTTCAATGTTTATATATATGCTGGCCTTTTTCACCTCTATGCCTCTTTCCACGTACTAACTTATCCTATATATATTTTCTATAATAATAATAGTAGTAGTAGTAGTAATAGTAATACTATTACTATTACTACTACTACTATTATTATTAGGTAGCAATCTATTTATATAATCATGAAAAGAAGTACATAGGAACTCACCTGGAGATTTAATTGTCATGCTTGAGGTCTAGAAATTATGCCTTGCATAGCAACATGAAGAGTGTTGTTTCTACCCAAAGAAGTCATGTCCTTAAAATTAGAGGAAGGAAGATCAAATCATATCCCCATGATCATAAAGGTGGCAATCGTGGTCAATGGGATGGGTGGGGGTGGGGGGGAGGGTGGCGATTCCCTGTAGCTACCATGATTAACGTGGGAGAAAGAATTTTTTCGAGAACATGATTTCATGCGTATTTCATTAAGAAGATGGGGGAGAAAGAAATCAATCGCCACTCTAATCAAAGGGACCTGGGGCACTGAATGAAAATTGGACGTAGGATGCGAGGGACAGAAAACTGGAGGAAGGGAAAAAAACCAGAGGGATGGAGGGAGAAAACTGAATCATATACGTTATGTCGGCACAGGATGACAATGGAAGGTACACACGCATGAAGCCAGTTGGACAAAACCCTCTTGATCTTTTTATCAAAGATATGCATATGCTGCGTAGTGAATTGTTTTTTTTCCCTGTTTGTTGGTAAAAAAACATGTATTTCGTGATGGTTGGTGGTTCTAGGGAGATATAGTGTTGCTGTAGGTGTGTACGCATTTTTGTGGTGGTTTGTGGCCCTCAGTGAGTTTAGCTCCACCACAAAAAGTTTTTGTGCGAGTCAAAAACCTGGCACAACCTAAATTCGTGCAAGTTCCTCACGGCCACAAATTATTTCTGTGTTAGTATCTCACAACCATGAATTATTTTTATCAAAATTCAACTTTGGCTGATCAACTTGGATGAATCCGGGTCTGCATTTTTTGAAGTGCACGAAATTTTTCCAGTTTTGAATCCCAGAACCTTGAGCTGTATGTATGTATATGTTTACGACATTAAGAGACCCTTATTTTATTGTCGGTCCAGGTCCAAAAAAAAAATCAAGGATGGCCCGTACAGCAGTCTTGCTGCCATTGGTTCCTGATGGGCACTAGGCAGAGCGGCACCTTCAATTCCGGTGGAAACTGAGCCCTCCTTCCTCCTCCATGCTCAGGTCTTTTGCGTTCATTCCCTCCGGCAGCGCCCAATCAAAGCAGTATAGCAAGTTGGCCTAGCTGAACTCAACGATGGCCGCGCCCATGGCGATTGCAGGGCACACCTTCCTGCCCGCGCCGAACGGCAGCAGCTCAAAATGCTGCCCAGTGAAATCGATGCTGCTGTTCTCGAACCGTTCCGGGTTGAACTTTCAATATTAAAGAGTGAAAATTTCACTGAGGCGAGAAGTAGTAGAATCAGAAGTCTGTAGATGGGTTACAACTTACAAGTCCCCAGTATCCTATGATAGAAGGTGTCTTCCAGCAAACCCGACCCCCCAATGCTGTCCAATAACGCGATTACAAACCTAGCTAGGCTCCTCCTTTTGCAAGATCGATATATAGACCCAGCCGACCTGAAAGATGAAGTCTTGCAGACTAAAAGGAAGACCGATGATCCAATTCCCTTCCCCCCTCCCTCGCCCCCCCCCACTACTGGATTCAGGTTCTTTGCCGAGTGCCTCAGGCACTCGGCAAAGGCCAAAATGCACTCGGCAAAGCCTTTGTCGAGTGCGGCACTCAACAAAGAACACACGGCAAAAATTTGATCGGCAAAGCCCTCTTTGTCGAGTGTCTTTTATCGGGCACTCGGCAAAGAAAAGCGACCGTCACGGAGCCGGTCCCGTTGACGGTCACTTTGCCGAGTGCCAACCCTGCAGGCACTCGGCAAATATTTTTTATTTTTTTTTAAAAATTTCTTTGCCGAGTGCCAACCCGTAAGCCACTCGGCAAAGATTTTTTTTTATTTTTTTTAAAAAAATTTCTTTGCCGAGTGCCAACCCGGAAGGCACTCGGCAAAGAGCTTTTATATTTTTTGAAAAATTTCTTTGCTGAGTGCCAACCCTGCAGGCACTCGGCAAAGAATTTTTATTTTTTAAAAAAAATTTCTTTGCCGAGTGCCAGCCATAGGGCACTCGGCAAATATTTTTTATTTTTTTAAAAAATTTCTTTGCCGAGTGTCCTATGGATGGCACTCGGCAAAGTTTTGAATTTTTTTTTAAAATTTCTTTGCCGAGTGCCCTATGGCCGGCACTCGGCAAAGTTTGAATTTTTTTTAAAAAAATTTCTTTGCCGAGTGTCATGGTCACACCACTCGACAAAGTTGGAAAATCTGTTTTCTGGGCACCCATTTTTCCAGCTTTGACGAGTGCTGTGACCATTGCACTCGGCAAAGGGATCCTTTGCCGTGTGCAACACTCGGCAAAGTGACCCAAAACGGTAAATTTTAATTTTTTTACATTCCATCGTGACAAATAAATTCATACAAACATACATCACATATATATCTCATTCATCACATATATATCTCATCCATCCACACATCCATCCGTCCATATCACATCCATCACAATATATATCACATATATAATAATAAGTGCTCAAGTCCATCCAAATAAATCCACAAGTCCATCAAAGTCCACAAGTGCATCACAAGTATATCACAAGTTCATCACCAAGTGAACAACAAATGTAAAAAATACAACATGCACTCATCTCGGCCACTGCGACTGTGGTGAAAGGCCAGATGCATCATTCGGAGGTGCATGAGGTGGATTATTCGAACCACAGTCAGATGAAGACTGCACAAAGGAGAAAAAGATTGCATGTGAGACAAGATTATTTTGATAGCTAATCTAGAACGATAGAGGCCATACAAGCAAAGCACAAGCGAAAGTAAAAAACTTTGATACTCACAGGAGTAGCTGCAGCTGCAGGACGCGGAGGCGAAGGTGGAACCAACAGCCCAGGTGGCAGAGACAAGCTCATACGTTGCCCAAGCCTTTGTAGGAACTTCGTAATGTCCATCAGCCTCTACGCCTGGGCCTGCCGCTCGGCCCGCTCGGCCTCCAGCTGGGCCCCCAGCTCCTGACGTTCCTTCATTTCTTGTTCCAGCCGGGCCTGCAATATTTCACTCCAATGTTTCAGTAATGCAAAGCTAATTAAGGTGTGCAAAGATCAATGTATGACGAGTAAAACAGGAATAACCTCGAGTGCGTCGACCCGGTGCTGTGCAGCGGTCGACCGTGTGCGAATGGCCGGGCTCTCACTCGTGCTCCGTGCTTGGATCTGGGAGAGAGAGAGTAGAGGCCGTGTCGATGACGCCGTCGCCAAGCCAGAACCACCCATGCTTCTTGCCTTGCCCCGCCCTCATGACAGCCTCTCCATCGAAGTCCTAGGTGCTCGGATCGTGGTCTGACCCATGGAGCGACCTCGCCACCTCAATGTACTCACTGATGCGGGAGTGGACGCTCGGGTTCATGTATGCCTCGGGCGGGTCCTCCAGGTTGAAGGAGACGTCAGACGTCGCCTTGCCCTTGTGGGCCATACACCATGCCTAGAAGTCCAAGCAAGCCTGGCCACTATGTGACGCCGACTGCGAGAAAGACAACACGATGATTAGAAATCAGGTAGAACTGAGCGTGATAATAGATAAATGAATTCACGTACCCATGCTTATTTGTATCCGGCGAGGTTGCGGCTGCCTTGATGGTGTGCTGGACCTTGCATCAGCAAACGACGGTACTGGGCATCCCTGTGCATCTTGAGGTACTCCTCCGTGAACCACCTCTCCACCATCATCGCCCAACACTCGGGATACGCTTGGCACCACCAGGGAATCATCTACACGTCATCAAGTATTGGACATATAAGAAGATCAAATTAAACCAACTTAATCTCAAAACGAATCAATATTGATGTTCTTTATTTACCTCAAGGTACTGCTCCCGGGTCAGCTGCATCTCTCTTGCGTCTTTCTTGGTTTTCCTCTCTCCAAGCTTCGACCCGTAGTAGGTTATGATGGTCTGGATGCGCACCTCGTGATGCATGTCGGTGACGAGTTTTTTACAGGCTTTGGTAGTCACCTGCTCCGCCCTGGCCTCAAATCCATCATCGCATCTGTAATAAGTCTGCATACAAAATCGATATATCCATTCATTGTTTTAAGAAAAGTCCAATGAATGCGACGTATTGAGCAATGTTGTGCGAGGGAGAATTACCCAAAACTCTGTCTTCACCCGCGC